ATATATTACATAAATATAATAGTTGTAGACCTATCTACGTATAATTGCGCATTTCTATAAACTCTCTTATGCACGATTATTTCCAGATATGTTAAGGATAATCTTATCTGGGAGATAATATTTCCATTATAGATTAGGGAGATATCTCTTGGATAAAGATCTAAATTTAGAGGTCAAGAAATAGAGCATTAAAAAGAGTGAAGTAGCCTAATTAGACTGCTCACGCCGTCACTTTATTGTGAAGCAATGTTTTTAAACAATGGGCTGTTATTTTTATGTCCACACTCATATATATGTGTATATATATATATATATATATATATAATGTGATAATATATGTCGAAAATTATGTTAATTACATACATGTAAAATAAGAAAAAAAACGTAATACGTTCGATATTATAAAAATTAAATGAATAGATAAGAAAAGCAAGCAAAGAAAAAAATTTTAATTTAATTAGATATTCATCAAGATTGATATTATATCAAGATAAATAATATAATAAATACTCATAAATACGATAATTTCACTGTGCGTAGCTTAAGCAGTATCTCCAGATATTATATTCAACATAAATAATATCATCGACATATCCTTTGCATTTTCCTGTTAGAGCTGAATATAACACGAACTCTCATCATTCGTGTAAGTTTTATAATTGTAAATTGCACATTAGTTTTTATAATTATTTTATTTCATAATTAACTTAATCTTTTCATGCGGATACATATTGAAATACATATTAATAATCTTTTGACTTCACACATAATTTTATAACTTAACTCCACTCTTTCTCGCCGTCCAACGAAGAAATAGTTTCGATAGTTTTTATAAATGACATATTGCGTAACTGTATTTAACTGCGACATGATTCTATATTTTATCCTTTAAACTTAAAATTTATTCAACGTTTAAACATTGGGTATTAATTTAAATCTATGTTATTTTTATTTGGCTGATAAAGACTTACAAGTATAGTTGAAACATTTGGTTTTTTTGTATGATATCGAATACTAATTAATTGTGAATAAAGATAATATATTAGTTTAAATTGAAATCTTTCCTTTGCTCGTTTTTTTTTATCTATCTACTCATTTAATTTTTATGTTAATTACACTTTTATCAAATAAAATTATACATATAGAATATTACGTTATTAATCTGAATTCCAAAGTATCATTATTGTTGACATCTCGTTTATTATTTGTGCAACCTCATATTTGTGTCTTATTTTTCTGCTATATTTACTAATGCGCATCAATAAAATTATTTTAGTCTTTATATTGTTAAATAAAATTATTGTTATTATAACGTAATCGTAGTTTTATTCTTTTGTAAAAAAAAAACAATACAAAAGTTATTTTCTTAATTATTTTATTTTCTTAATTATTCTTATTATTTTTCCTAAATGTAGATTGAAATATTTGCTATTACATACGTGAAAAAAAAACATAGCTGACCATATTTTATAAATAATTATTTATATTTGATTATATATAATTTTTATAACAAATGTTATAAAAATAATGCTTAGAGAGATAGCATAACGATTCGTGTTGATTAAATAACAATTCCTATACTTCTAGAAGCATTTTTTTAATATCGTTTTCTGAAGACAGATTCTTTAATCATTATTTTTAAATTGGTAATATATTCACAACGAATTTCTCTTTAATCTTTCTAAATAACTAAAAATATAACATTTTCTATTTTGAATATAAATACAAGAAAATAAATATTTTTATAGAGAAGCTGTGAAATGACGCTCATGACGGATTGCTGGGCCCTGGATGGCATAATAATTCTAACAATTCTCATTATAACCGCCTACCTTTACATGACTCGCAATTTTAAGTATTGGAAAAAACGGGGTGTGTTGGAAATAACGCCATCATCTTTCATGGAATGTCTATTTCGAAAGAAAGCCCCGGCATATTTCCTAAAAGAATTATATGACCGAGCGAAGGGTGAACCTTATATCGGTTTCCACATTCTGGATAAACCTATCTTATTAGTTTGCGATCGCGAAATCATTAAGAGTATCTTGATAAAAGATTTTAATATCTTCTATGACCGATACGCCACGGGTAATCCAAAAGACCGTATTGGATACACTTCTCTCTTTTTAATTAATAATCCTGCTTGGAAAATTTTAAGAACAAAATTATCACCATTCTTTACTTCCGGTAAAATGAAAAAAATGTTTGATTTAATGCTAGAATGTACAAATCATTTAGATGAGTATCTCGATTCATTAAAGTTAGATGGTAAGTTGGAGAAAGTTATTAAACAATTTATAAAATAATTTTAAAAATGTTGAAATACATATAAAGATTAATTACGTCTGTAAATTTTTTGTAGTACTAAAATATTTTATATATTTCTTATATTTATATTTATATATTTTATACACACAAAAATATTTATTCGTGACAATAAGAACCAAGAATCGATATACATAATATTTACATTAGACGTTTAATTAATTGAAGACATTGTCGGCAGATAAAGGACAAATAATAGAGGCGAAGGATATAAGCTCTAGATTAACAATCGATATGATCAGCAGCACTATTTATGGACTCGACGTGAACACGTTCAAAAATCCAAACCTTGACTTTCTAAAATATGGCAAGAAGATATTTACGAATAATTATCTGCGTGCTTTAGAGATACTTGCAATGTTTTTCCTTCCAAACATATCTCGTATAGCTCGTCTAAAATTGTTCGGTACAGAGGCTACCGCTTTTTTGCGCAAGTTTTTCTGGGAAACATTGACTAGACGCATGGAATCCAGCGAGAAAAGACACGATCTTATCAATATTCTGATCGAACTCAAGAAAAACAATCATGATCATAAAATTGAAGACTTTGGTAAGTGAAATTATACTTATTGTATAGTTTATACATAAAAGTAAATAAAGATATGTAACATTATAATTTATAATGATAAAATTAGACAAGCAATAATAACATGTAAGAAAATATCGTATAGTTATCATCATATAACTCATAACGATCTTCAAGAAGACATTGGATGTGTTTCAATGTCTTCTCGAAGCTGAGATGTCCCAAGTTATTCTTTAATGGGTTGAATAAAAGGATCATTTCCTTTATGTTTCACTTCTTGAATATGAATGCCGATCTCTCCACTGTACGATCCAAAACGTTCATACTTTCGCTTCTTTTTTTCTTCGGACAGCGAAGAGAAAGAGCTCCTTCCTTTCCAAGCTAGTTCGATTGAATTTGCGAACTTATCGCAACTTATCGCAACTTATTCTACACTGTATATATTTCCTCAAGCTGAACCGATTAGATATGCACTTGTTCATAATCTAACTTCTGATATGTACGAAAATATGGATATCATCGTACAATTCATTTATCTCATGCGATAAGGATATGGGATTTCATTTGTGCGTTGTACGACAAATTTTTCAAGTCTGTTAATTGACTATAGGATAGAGAGATCCGAGGACCTCTATGTTCTGCATATATTTGTCTTACGACAAAAATAAAATCCTACCCTAACTCATCAACTTCTGATTAAATTAATCGACGATTAACTCGCAAAAGTGCCATCAGCAGTTTGTATCTTCTCTCTCTTTCTCTTCTGTATTTAGTTCTCACGTTGGTAATGATTAGTTAACCATCGAGCGTTTACCGGGATTAGTGAAAGAGAACCTAAGACTACTACCGTTGTAAATTGTTATCTTTCTCTGGTATTCACGCCGATATTCCCTCTTCCGCACATCCATTTACAGAAATCGGTAGTGCTGATCTTTATTATCTTATGGAGCTACTCAAATAAAAAGTTCGGTAGCTATTTTTCTTCCAAACGATAATCGATCTTAATTGCAGCAAACAACGGAGGCTTTCAAAACTTTACAAATGAAATTAAATTTTAGAATTCGATGAGGATGTTCTCATGGCGCAAGCGATCAGTTTCTTCGCAGCCGGTTTCGATACAACCGCACAGCCTATTGTTTTCACGTTGTACGAACTCGCATTACAACCGGACATTCAGAACACCCTAAGAAAAGAAATTCACCAAGCGCTCAACAATTTCGATGGAAAAATTACATACGACATGGTGCGTCAATATCATCTGTCCTATCAAATAATTTCTGTGAAAAAATGCTGATATAAATATTGTTCATACTTTTGTCCAACTATTGATTTCATTCCTGAGTAAATTTTAAAACTTGATAAATCTTCAATATGTAAAAATAATATCTTTATTCTATTAGATCATATCGCTACCGTATATGGATATGGTGGTATCGGAAACTTTAAGAAAATACCCTCCATTGGGATTTCTGAATCGCAATACAATGGAGACTTACCAAATACCAAATTTTAATCTCGTACTTGAGAAGGATACGCCGATTTATATCCCAATGCTTGCTCTACATTACGATCCGAAATATTTTCCCAATCCTGAAAAATTTGATCCAGAGCGATTCAATGAGGAGAACAAACGTAATATACCATCATGCGTTTACTTCCCTTTTGGAGACGGTCCACATTCGTGCATAGGTAAGGCAATTGATTTTAACTATGATATCAAGAAAAGATTAAAATTGCTAATCACACATGAAATTGAAATCAATAAAAATGGGAAAAGCACACTTTATAACTAGACAAATCTAAAATTTTACATTTAGACAATTAAGTTGTAACGTACGAGTTGTTGTATTTTAATTATAAAATTGAATTTGAAAACATAAATTAAGTAGCATATATTTTAAAGTGTTTGTTACATGCACAGATTGCATTATAAATGAATCAGAAATAAAGAAATCAGCGGAAATAAATTGCAATATACACAATTACTTAATGTTAATGCAATGAAATTTCAAATCATGATAGTGATTATGCAATAATATTCGAGACTTTTTTTAATTTAACTAGACTCTACGATTGCAGAGAATTATGAAATTGATGATTTCAATTACAAAGTCGCAAAAATAAGAAAAATAAAATCAATTAATAATATTTAGAATTTAATTTTTTTTAAATATAATAAGTTGTATATTATTGTAAATAGTTGTATATTATTGTAAATATAATAAGTTGTATATTATTATACGTTTTGCAGGTAATCGCTTTGCATTGTTAATGATAAAATTGATACTCTTTAAAATGTTGAACAAGTGTGAAGTAACACCATGCGAAAAAACTATAATACCAGTGATCATTGATTCAGCAGTGGCTTTGACAGGACCGTTAAATGGCGTAATATATCTCAATATGCGAAAAGCTAATACTGTTACCGATTAAAATTTGACAAAATATTATTGATTATAATCACATTTTTGTATTAACATTATTTTCACATATTTTGTATTAACATTTTATCATTCACTAATCTGTAAGAATAAATCGAGAAATATTTTTAGCATGGATAAATCGAAAAATACTTTTAGTAAGGATAAATCGAGAAATATATTTTTTAGCACGAAAAACTTCAATTCTTTAGTTATTATATAAAATGAGGAAGAATTCAATTCAACTAAACTTTAGAATTATGACTCTAAACTACAAACGTAAAATTTAAAATATACTTTGCTTACTTATTATTAAATTACAAAAGATAATAATATAAAGAGGAATTTTTGTCAAATATTTCTTCATCACCCGCAGAATGATGGTTTTTCCTTTATTCGTCGACATTGTAAATATAGGAGGCAGCCACAAGAGCAGCCGGTCACATACTGATGCGATGATATATATATATATATA